ACGTGTTTACTGGCCCCAACTAATCTCAGCAGGACCTAATGTCCCTGGGAAGCCCGAGTTCCCAGGGATAGCATACTCACTTCAAGAGTGAGGTCTGCTGGTTGACCTACATTGGATGCCTTGGATGAAAAGCCTTCTTTTTCTGTTATGCTTCTTGGTAGCTGAATTGGACCCAGGTTGCTGCTCCACCTGTTTCATCATCAGGGCTTCTTTTCGAAATCAGAGCAATTCAAGCCTATACTCATATAGGCCACAGACCCAGAAAAAAATCCGAAAATCATTCTCCCAGGGATGAGTGCCCAGAGGACCCCATGAAAGGTGGCGGCAGTACTGAGATCCTGTGGTGGTCCAACCAGTGGGCCAAGAGGATTTCCAGGAGGAGCCAGTGAAGAGCACTCCAGCAGCCACCCCTTTGGGGCAGCTCAGTGCTCACCACCCCTTCAGCAAAAAGGCCCCCATTCACAGGCTGCTAGCAGCTATGGTTTTGATGAAACAGAGGTGCCCCCAACTGCCAGATTTCAAAATTATCCTTGGGACACTTGCTGAGACCAAGTCAAGGGCATTTCTGTATCACTCATCATCTTATAGCTCAGGGATAGGAGCCTCTTTATTCTGATCATCAAATAAAGTGATTGAAAGGGCTCTGACAGTGGGAGTGTCTTTATTGAATGAATGAATAAGAAGTATTAATAACTCTTTCTGTGTGCAAAGCTATATAACAATAATTGGGTTTACAGAGGGAAAAGTAAGTCTGCCTTGCTCTCAAAAATGTAATTCTCATTGGAGAGATGACACCAAGGGATGGTTTTAACTTCATTGCAGATGAAGAGGTCCAGTGATCTTTAGGGTACAGCAGAAAAGAAGATGATGCTTCTTCTTTAAAGTCATTTCTACTGATTAGTTTTTTTTTTCTCAGTTGCTAACCGTTTGATATTGCCTAAGATTGTGGGAATCAGAACTTCCTTTATTGGGTCATTAGTGGTTGTGTTTGAAACCCCTGCAGGAGCCTTGGCCAGGCTGTGTTTCCACAGGGGTTGCCTGCCATGAAGATGTCTAAGGACCCTGAGTTTCTCCTGGCCCCCAGGTCCAGGTCATTCTCGATCTGGGTCTGAGGAGAGATGGTGTCAATGTGATGGTTTTGGCCTGAACTGCTGGGCACATGCTGACTGCTCTGTCCCTCCAGGGGGTCTCCCTGTTTCATCTGGACTGGCTTATTCTCTGTACTGTGGGGGTTGGTGGGGATGGCAGGATTCCTCTCCATGGGAGTTGTTTCTCTAGAAGATGACTGTCATGTCTGGTCTGGAAGCTTGATGGGTAGTCTGGGGAACAGCTGCCATTCACCAGGGCACTTCAGTTTATGTTTGTGTTGGTAGTGGCTTGATAGGAGTTTTTACTGGTGATCGTAAGGAAGATCAGTTCTCCCTTTAATGTTCCCTGTTAGGAGAGGGAATTGTCTAGAATCAGTCAAGCTCTGTCTGTCTCTCTGTCTGTCTCTGTCTGTCTCTGTCTCTCTTTGTCTTTCTTTCTCTCTCTTTGTCTCTCATCACTGGGATGGGGTGATTATCAGGGACACAAGGGTGACTAGAAGCTAGACAGGGACAGGTGTGTTTCTGGATTTGGGTCTCCTCTTAAATTCATTCTGCTGGGAATTCTGGGAAGGCTTTGGAGGTTTTGGAAAGTGGCAGGAAGGGAGAGGGGGGTGGTACAGACTCTCTTGAATACCCGTGCGCAGGTACACAGCAGACCTCATGCCTGGCTCTAGTGTGAACAGTTTCTACTGGATGTGGGGGAGTGCCCAGGAAGGAGACGTGGGGATGAGCAGGGGTAAAAGTGTTGGAGGTGGTGGTCATTCTAAAAGTGTCTCCCAAAGTGGGGGTGGGGAAAAGGGGTCGCACAGTGTAGGTAGGGCAGACTGGCCACTGAGAGGTGGGAGTGGATTCATTGAGGAGAAGGAAGCTGAATACACCTTATATTATATGTACACCATGTAGCCCAACCTAACCATCTACCCAAACTCTGCCTGCAGTGTCTAGCCAGTGCTAGCAATCTGGGGGTTTGGGGAGTAGGAGTGGAAGTAGGGGGCTGTGATTGCTTTCTGAGACTGAGAAATGAGCGTTGAACATTCAGAAAGTGCTGGTTATAAGGGCTAATCCTCTCTCCTAATTGTTCCATGGACCATGGGGGTTCTTAAAGGGTGGGCTTGCAGGGGAGAGGAAGGGAATAACCTTTGACATGTGTTTTCCAAGATTATTTTCTGAAGAAAAGAATTCTCAATAAAAAGTAAGTCCAAAGAGTACCTTTAAGGTTGGACTTCTCAGGATAAACTGGAATCTATGTGAACCCTGACCTGAACATCTCTGTTCCCATAGAGATTAGATGGTGGTGCTGTCTGATTGTGGCTCCCTTCCCTCTGAATGAAGGGTACTGTTCGGGAGCATCTTTGGTGTGTCAACATGCCAGTTGCCTCTAGACTGTGGTGTCTTGGTAGTGCAGTGGTTAGATTGCTGGGTCTTGACTCCAGATAAACCGAGTTTAAGTTGAGTCTCAAACTTACTAGCTGTGTGACTCTGTCAGATGACAGCAATTTGTTTCCTCAACTGCAAATTGGGGCAAAAAACAGCACCTCCCTCCCAGGGTTGTTGTGAGGATCAAATGAGATAATATTTGTCAAACTTTTTAGTACAATTTATGCCTGAGACGTAATAAATAATATAAAATTGTGGTTATCGGGTGTCTGGAGGCCACAGGGTCCCAGGGTGCATGCTGAGGCTCAAATGCTGCAGCCCTGACTTCTGGCCTTGTCTCTGTCCAGGCTTTCCACAAGCCTGGGCTCCAGTCTCCTCTTGGAGCTCTTCTGCCATTTTGACCGGCCCTGCCTGTTGAAAAACATGCCTAAATGTGCTGACATCATCAGAGAATGATGTTCAGTCTGGGGAGGAAACTGTAACATAGTACATCTTTGAAGGAGTGGGTTTTTTCCCCTCCTAAATGGAGGGGAAATTTAATTTGCAAACATTCTATGTTGTTGTAAAAAATACTGTCAAAAAGGAGATTTTCAGAGAAATGACTAAAACACAAGAAAGAAAATATAATTTAAGTTTGAATATTTATTACCTGAGTTTGCTTATGATGACCATGATCTTGAGATCATGGTCATCCCTAAGGATGGCTTTTTTGGTGGGGCGGGAAGAGGGGGCTTTACCTTTTAACCAAACCGAGTTTTTCTTCTGCTTCTCCGGAAAGTGTTTTGTGTTCTGGGGGGTTGCAAGCCAATGTAGAGCTCAGAGAGGTCATCTGCCTAGGAATCCCCCCCTCCCCAAAACTTGCCCCAAAATCCCATCACTCCCCAGGAAGTCTGTATTAATTCTTTAGCGTCTCTAGTTCCAGGCAGACTCCCTGCTGGGCTGGAAGCTCCCTTCCTTGAGAGAAAGAATAGCATCCTTTTGGTCCACCCTGCCCAGCTGGCTAGTCTCAATTTTGGTTCTTGTCCCTGGAATTGTGACAAGCAGGCCCAAGGGATCATTTTTCCCCTTTATTTTTTCATACAGCATGTAGCGGGAGAGTAAGGGGAAGAGCAGAAATTTAAGCAAGCTCGGGGTACTGAGCCTTAGCTTTATATCTATGGGATAGAGGGGATCATCAGGGACGGAATGGAGGCTAGGAGCTGGACAGAGCCCCCCAGGTGTCTATTGCATGTGAGACCTTGAACTTCTACCTGGTGATTTCTAGGGTTTCCTCTGTTCCCACTAAAGTCACTCACCTATGTGTGGTCCCCCTTAGTTTAAAGGAGGTGGGGGTTGGGGTGTAGTTCTCCAGAATTGGTGTGTTTCTTGATTTTTTTCCTCCTCTCGAATTCTTTCCATCAGGAATTCCAAATGGCTTTTAAATTTTAAACTCAGAAGCATATGGAAGTGATTGTTGATAAATCAAAATAAATTAATAAAACAAAAAAAAAATAACAAAAAAAATGGCCAGCAGAAAGAGTACTTTTAGGGAAAGGACTGAACCAAAAGGGAAAGAAAAATATATTTCAATTGGAATACATTTTACCAGACTTTGCCTGTGACAGGTGCCGACCTCTACTCCATCTTTTAAGGAATTCTGGAGTCCCTGGTGGGGTGCAATGGGAGGACTTTCCCTTTTCACCCAAGCAGGTATTTCTGCTGCTCTTCCTGAAAGTTTAGTGTGTTCTGAAGGTTGGCAGGGCAGAGCTGAGCTCAGTCAGGTCATCTGCCCAGCAGTGACCCACCTCCCCCCTATACCCCATCATTCCCCAGGGAGTCTGAGTTAAGCCTGTAGAGTGAGTGAGTGAGTGAGTGAGTGAGTGTGTGTGTGTGTGTGTGTGTGTGTGTGTGTGTGTGTGTGTGTGTGTCTAGTCCTTTAACATCCCCTGCTGGGCTGCAAGCTCCCTTCCCTGATGGAGAAAATGGAAACCTCTTAGGCCACCCTGTCCAGACTGGTCATACTTTGAGTGCTTGTCCTTGGGATGGTAGGAAAGAGGCCCTAGGGATTCTTGGTTTGGTTTTTGTTTCACAATAAATAAGTAATAATTGTCAGGAAATGAAATCCACAAAGCCTCTCTCTTCAGGCTGACATTACGGTCCAGTGATGTAATGGATTTTTACCCTGTCAGGCCAATTGCTACATAGGGGTCGGGTCACAGTGACTGAGGGAGTTCTGGAGAGGAGGCCAGAGCCCAGGCTTCTTTTAAACCTGGACACCGACCAGCCCAGAAGGCAGTACTGCTGTGTCCCACCCTCTGCAAGCACCCAGGACCCTCCCTCACATTGAACACCGCATCCCTAGGGATGCCTTACAGATTGTTCAGTGAGGAGCACAAGTGGTCCTAGATCAGAGGCTCTGGATGAGCAGCTCTCATCCTCTGCTGAGATTCTCATTCAGACATTTGGGCACAGCTTCCTGCTCCCCCTGGTCCATCTTGGGGGATTGTTTCCCAGTCCCGCAAGCCAGAATTATTGTCAGAAGGCTTTCTCCTCCAGGTGATTTGCAGGCTGATCCTGTGCAAGGTGGTTCCTGTCCCCAGACCATTGACTTGGTCAACCAGTGTCCACAGGTGGGTCCTCGAGGCATCCATGAAGAGGGCTCCACATGGCCTTCCCTTGGAGTGAGGTTTAGTCTCATCAGATCTTCAGAAAGGACGTTGTGGCTGTTCCCAGCAGTGGGTGAACATGGTTTCCCCCAGGCGCCCACAAAGAAGTCTCCAGCAAACATCTGTTTGGGGCAGCTCTGTGCTCACCACCCCTTCCAAGAGGAGGCCCTGGGCCTGAGGTTACTGGCACCTGTCACACTGGTGATCCGGAGCAGCCCCCAAATGCTAGGAGTAGAGGAGATGAAAACCTCAGCCACCCTCATCCTTGGGACACTTGCTGAGACAAATCACCTGTCCTTCTCCATGGCTTGTCATCCTGTATCTCTGTAATAGGCCTCCCGTTAATTCTCATCAAATAAACCGAAAGGCTCAGAGATTGTGTGTTTGTGTCTTTATTATTTAAGGTAAGACCTGCCTCTAAAGTAATCCTTAATGCTGAGGGCCACAAATGAAGTGGTTCCAAGTGGTTTGTTCCAAGAGAGGGGCCTGGTCAGACCTGCCTAAAATCTCCAACACCCCTGCATCTTCCTCTTCCTCATCCTTCTCCTCCTCCTGCTCCTCTTCCTCATACTCTGGCTCCACACAGGTGAGACCTGCTTACACCAGATAGACCAGTGTCTGCATTGGGTTTATATTAAATTCCTTTGTTATTGTCTGCCTGGTCCAAATTTGGGTTTGGTCTACTGTATCTTTGAAGACAGAGCCACTAGGTAGCCCATGGGATAGAATGTAGGGCCTGGAGTCAGGAAGACCTGATTTCAAATTTGGCCTCAGACACAATCTGCCTGACCCTTCTCAAGTCACTTAACCCTGTTTGCCTCAGTTCCTCTCCTATAAAATGAGCTGAAGAAGGAAATGATAATGTGCTTTAGTATCTCTGCCCAGAGATAACCAATTGGGGTCAGAAAGAGTTGGACCAGGGACTGAAATCACTGAGCAACAACAAAAAATCTTTGAGGACAACCAGGTGACGTTGACCAGAGATGTTCAAGTCAGGTTTCATTTAGAGCCCAGTTTATCCTGAAATGCTTAAACACAAACCCTTTCTTTTTTTTGGTTAGAATTATTTTTAGTAAATCTAATAGGAACACAGTCCTGAGTCTTGCTGTCATCCCTACCCCACAATTCCACTCCTTTTAAATATTTGTTGAGTCAGTGGTCAGGTGGTATAAGAGGGTTTTCCCTTTTCATCAAACCAGGCCTTTCTTCTGCTCTTCCACAAGGTAAAATGTGCTGTGGGGGTTGCAGGGCACTACTGAGCTCTGCCAGGTCATCTGCCCAAGGATTTCCTACCTCCCCTAATCTCCCATCCCCTCCATCCCTCCCCACAGAGTCTCTGCTAAGAGTCTATTTCCAGGCAGACCCCCTGCTGGGCTGGACACTCCCTTCCTTGATGGAGAACATGCCCTCTTCTTAGTCCATCCAGTTCTTGTCCTTGGCATGGTGTCATTCACAACCCAGGGATCAGTTTGTTATTGTTTTTTTTCCAGTTAAATGTTTTTAGTAACTCTACCCTCCAGCTGGACGGCAAGAGTTGGGGCAGAGATTTGAGTAGGTTAAGGAGCAGTTAACCACTGGTGTGAATATGGAATATTAAACCTTGAACTTCCCTCAGGTTATTTCTGGACTTGCTTGGTCTTTGTCCCAAGCGCACCCTCTTCTTCCCCATGTCCAGGGCCCTTGGTTGGGTTGATCTGGGGAGGGGGTGACCCAGGGGCATTAGTGTGTTTCCAGATTTTTTTCTCCTTCTTAATTCATTGTATCAGGAAATCTGGGAACACTTTGCTCTTCCCCTGGCTGGGGTGATGAGGTAGGGAGGGGGCCCTCCTCCATCCCCCATGTCTGTGTGTGCAGAGCCCCTCAGTAGATTCGAGTGAGTCTGAGCTGCTGCTTCAGGAGGGAAGGGAGGATGGCATGCACAGGAGAAGGGTGTTTGCTGGTGGTGGGGGACCACACGCAGGAATGCAAGGGATAGGGCAGACCAACCTGGAGATGCTGGAGGAAAAGGTACTGGAGTGGGATGGGGTGGAGGTTGAGGGCCAAGGAGGAGTGGAGGCTGATGGAAGCCTGAATCCTCCTTCTCCCTACTCCTGCCCTGTACCTCGCCCGCCCAAAGCACCCTCCCAGGGACTGCATATTCTTGACTTAGACACAATGCTGTGTCCCAAAAGCAGTGAGACCACAAGCATTTACAGAGCTCCCATGATGTCGTAGACCCTGTACTGGGCTCAAGGGAGATTAGGAAAGGCAGAAATGTCTAAAGGTGCCCCTGGGTAATTTTCCTGCTTCAAGAAGGTGGTGTGTGATCAGAAACATGAAGGAAGTCAAGGGATGACCCTGCACAGTGATGATAAGGATGAACGAAGGTGCAGGGTCGTGCTTCTCAGGCCAGCCCACCCACCTACACTCCTTAAATGTGCCAGGCCTGTGCACTTACATTTTTGGGGATGGGGAGGGAGAGCTGTGACTATTTTCTCAATTTGAGAAGTGAGCTTTTGGCCCCCTCAGGGAGACTCACGGGAAATCAACCAACTATACCTTTCACCCAGCCTCCCTGGACTGGGTCTTCTCTGATAGATTACCTGAGGGTAGGGGTGAAATTGGAGATTGGAAAGGAAAGGCAGTGGAGAATAACTTGGCAGATAAAGTGTCTGCTGACCTTAAAATATAGAGAACGCATTTGCTTTCTGCAAGATCAGAAGGCATGGCAAGGAAAGCAGACCCCTCAGGGGAAAGACCCCCCAATGATTTCTCATCTTCAGTCCTAAAAGAGTGGGTGAGGGATGGGGAAGTAGGGGAAGGATGACAGTGATCTGCATATCAAAGGAAATTTGGGCAAATGTTTTGACACTTAAGTTATGGTCCTTTTCCGTTTTAATTTTAGTTGTTTTCCTAAAAATCCTCCTTTTGTTCATGTTTTTGTACGTACAATGAGAAGGAAAAAATTGCTCAGATTCATCCCCCATGAGGTAAAGAAAACAAACAAATAAAATCTTGCCTCCACCTCCCCCACAACAATAAAATCAAAGGTGAATCATTTCCAAAAGTCCTTCTTAGTTGTTTTTTTTTTCTTTTTGATTTGTTTGTTTGATGGAGAGTGTTGGTAAAAAATAAATAAATGGAACAAAGTAAGCCTCTTGCTTTAGGCTGGTATCATTCTCCAATGATGGCACACAGAGTCCTAGCAAGTGAGGCTCATTGTTGGGTAGGGTTGGGTCACAATTACTGTGAGAGGTATATAGAGGAGGCCGGAGACCAGGCTTCAAGTCTAGGTACTGAAAAGCCCCGAAGTCAAGACCTCTGCCATCCACTCTCCTGAGATGATATCCTCATTGAGGTCTACAAGTTGTCCCAGATCAAATTCATTGAATGAAAAATCTATCGCCTTGTGCTAAGCTTGTCGGTGGCTGAATTGGATGCAAGTTCCTGCTCTCCCTTGTCTATCCTCAAAACTTGGTTCCCAGTCCTGAGGAATACCAGCCTGTATTGAGGTAGGCCAGGGATCTAGACATACAGATTGAAGACACTCTTCTCGTGATGAATGCTATGAATTACATCCCTTTTCCACAGGCTTTTTGCCTGGTGGGCAAAGATGGTTTCCCAGATAAATTTATGGAGAGTGCTTATGGTAGCAGTCCATTTGGGGCAGCTTGGTACTTACCACTGCTTCAAAAAGTAGACCCCATTCCCCCAGGTTTTTGGCTAGTACCATCTCTTGATAGAGATGGTTTTCCAGAGATGCCTGTGACCATGGCTCCAGGTGGCCATCCCTTGGGGCCAGTTTGGTGCTCAGCGCACCTTCAAAATTATGTCCCTGTTCCCCAGCCTTATTGGCCAGTTTAATCAGTTGGTATAGATGGTTATGCAGAGATACCCATGTACAGGACTCTAGATGGCTATCCTTTTGAGGTGGCTTGGTTCACAACACACCTTCAAAATTGTGTCCCTGTTCCCCAGCCTTTTTGGCTAGCCCATTCAGTTGACAGAGATGATTTTCGAGAGACCCCCACGAACAGGGCTCCAGCTGGCAGCCATCCCTTCATGGCAACTTATTGTTCACCACAATTTCCAAAAAGAGACTCTGATCCCCAGACTTTTTGTCTGGGAGAACCAGTGGAGGAAGATGGTTTCCCAGAGATGGGCCCAGAGAAGGCCCCAAGCTACAGTTCTTTTGAGTCAACTTGGTGCTCGCCACATCTAGAAGAAAGAGACCTTGTTCCCCAACCTTTTGAGCTGGTACAAACAGTCGACAAAAATGGTTTCCCAGAGACATCCATGAAGAAGACTGTAGATGGCAGTCCTTTTGGGACAACTTGGTGCTCACAAGAACTTCCAAAGAGAAGCCCTGATCCACGAAGTAACTGCAAATGTCATTTGAGTGCATCCAAGCTGTCCTTGACCACCAGGCGTAAGCGAAAGAAATCCAAGGTCGTTATTGCTTTTACACCAGCTGAGGAATGTCCTACATCTAGCAGTACCTCTTGGCATTCTTCACGTATCTAAGAGTGCCCCCTTTATTCAGATCATCAAATAAAGTGGTTCCAAGTATTCAGAGATTCTATGTGTGTTTATTGGGTGGATGAATGAATGAATGACCCAACAAACGAATGAATGAATAAAGCATTTATTAACCTCTTTTCTTAACAAAAAGGCCTCTGCTAAGCAGAGAAGATAGAAATATAAGACAAACCATCTTTGCTGTCAAGGTGCTTAACTTCTAATGAGGAGTAACAATGCTCAGGGATGGTTTAGCTGCATTTCAGATAAAGAGGTCCCGTAGTCCTTAGGGTATAGCAGCAAAGCAGATGTTAAAACCTCTTCTTTCATATTATTTCTACTGATAAAATAATATCCATTTCGAAGGTTGAGCCATTTGATATTGCCTCAGACTTTGGGAGTAAGAACTTTACTTTCTGGGTAGGTGTGATTGGAGCCCCTGCAGGAGCCGTGGCCAGGCTGCATCTCCACAGGGGGTTCCTTTCCAGAGTGATCTCTGAGGACCCGGGGCAGTTCCTTGGATGTCTCCATCTGGCTCTGCTGGGAGGTGCTGGTCAAGGTGGTGATGGAAACTTGCACTGCCTGGCCCATGCTGACCCATCTCTCCCTCCAGGGGGCCTTGCTCTTTTAGCTAGGCTGGCTTCTTCTCTGTCCTATGGCTGGCAGTTGGTGTGGATTTTGGGGCCCTTCTCCGTGGGAGTGGAGTTATTTCCCTAGATGATGACCGTAAAGGCTGCTCTGTAAGCAGGACATGTGACCTGAGGGCTGTTGGCATTCTTAGGCCGCTTATGCTTGTTGGTGGCAGTTGGGCAGCAGTTGTTGCTGATGATGGTGAGGAAGGTAGGCCCCTCTTCACAC